TAAACCTACAGACACCTCAAAAAGAAAAATTAGGAAGGGTACTATCCTATCAGAGTGAAAATTTTCAATGAACTTTATGTAGCATAGGAGAACCAGGAAAACCGAATTTTTAAACCCTAGCTATTCATTACCATGGGAGAAGAGCCCCTCACAGCACCCGGTGGCACATAAGCCAGGCCCGTTTTTCAGTCAGCTGGAGTCCCAGTTCACGGGACAAAAATGTGCTTCACTCACAAAACATCATCTGCAGCAGATTCCTTCCCAGCACGATTTAACTGCAAGTAGGAAAAACCTCTAACCGAAAGGGTACATTCCAGCGAGACCCTCCGACAAATCATCATGGTCAGAAGTGAGGTGCGGGGAACAAAGGCACACACTCCGACACTCACTGGCTCTGTAGACTATTTTTCAGGGCTTACTAAGTGCCCAGGTAAAAGCAAGACGGTTTGATCCCCACCCTCCAGACACTTGCACGGAGGGCAAGTCAACAAGCCTAGCGACCTCGACGAGGCAGTGACAGTGAGCAGCAGAGCACAGAGCGAGAATTCCAACTAGGAGAACGGACCTGACCAGGTAATCTGAGCAGTTAGACAGGTGAGCAAGAGGGGAAGGTATCCCCAGCAGGTTGGTGTAAAGACATGGAGGCCACGAGAAATCATGGTGAACTCAGGACACTGCCCGGAATCCCACATAACTAGGTGGTGGAGCAGGCGGGGGGCCCTGCAGGTGGTCTGCAGTAGTAGAGAAAGGTGGGAGGCAGATGGGAAGGGACCTGGGGACCAAGCCCAAGAATCTGAACTTCATCTTGAAGGTAAGGTGTAGCCACCTAAGAATTTTAAAGGAGCAAGTGGCATGTTCAGATTTACCATGGAGAGCCTCTGGGGCAGCAGCTGAGAAAGAATGGGTGGGTGAGGTGAGGCTGGGGCTCAGAGTCCAGGGGCTGCTCCAGGGACAGGAGCCATGAGGGGCCACCTGAGACAGCAACACCTTCAGAGGGGCCGGGCCAATTCAAGGACAATCCAGAGGACATTCTGGCCGCCACTGCAGCTGAGGGTCAGGAGGGACGGCTGCCAAGGAAGCCAGGTTTCCGATCTGAGGGCAGCCACGTGATGGAGGCCTCTGTCAGAAGGGGCAGCTTAGAGAAGATGGAGCTTGTGAGTGGCATCTTATTGGTTTTTGTTTTTGTGTTTGTTCTCTGCTAAGGTGTGTTCTTTGTGCGGGCAGGAGGGGCGGAACCCTTTCAGATGTACTCAGTCTGCCTCGGAGCAGTCTAATGGAGATGTCCTTGCAGGCAGCTAGATAGGAGTCTGGAAGACCCGAAGACCATAGGCTGAGGAAAAAGCTCTGAGATCCTCACTGCATAAAGCGACAGCTGAAGCTGCAGGTTTGAATGAGGCAGCCCAGGAAGTGAGGCAGGTGAGAGCGCAGAGTTATTTCTAAAATAGCATGAACTACCCATTACAACATCTCTTACGGCCAGAAAACACAAAATATACACCCGGAGGTCCCAAAACAGCAGCAGTCATCAGAGAAAGTCCACCTGTACCCAAGGCAAGGAGGCAGGTGGGCAGAGAAAGGAAAGCAAGAACAATCAGAGGGCAGGCAGAGGCCTGAGAGGAGGCGAGCTACCGTGCAGCCATCTAATCAAACACGTACATTTACAAACTGGATGCTTATTGCATCCAGAGCTGAAAATGTGCACAATGGACATGCTAGTGCACAACCATGCGGGAGATCTTTGAAACACAGATGGCAGGCTTTTTAGTGGAAAGGGGACTCAGTACATATCAAGATACATATAACAACTATCTTATATGGAGAAATAATGCCACATACATAAAAACTTTTCTAAAAAAAAAGGCTAGCAGTCTTAACATTAAATTGTACCTCTCAAGAGAATTACAATGCAACTTATGCATTGTTATAACGTGTAAAATTACTCCCCTAGAAATATACGAAACTCTGTTTCACTCTTGTACAGGTTAAAAATCAAGAAAGAAGGGATCGATTATGACCATGGCCAACCAAAACCCGCTCTTCAGGGAACCATGTGGGAGCCTCCGTGGGAGCCAGACATCCCCACGGGCCATGACTGGCTGAGCGAAGGAATGGAAGACAGTGCCAGAGTCGCTCTATGCCCCTCCTCAATGAAAAAAAATAAAGCAATGTGAAGTAAACACTGGGACTTCCTGTCATACAAGCACATCGGAAAAGTGGCAAATGACACCACACAGCAATCACTGAAGACTTAACAAGGGCTCTGGGTTCTTTCTGATTCTGGAACAAAAAAGATTACATCATTTTCAGATTACAAATACTTTCTAACAATGCAAAAAAAAAGTATACTGCCTTAAAACAAAGCAACTTAAAACTGAGTTCGTTTTAAAAGATTGGGGGAGTGGTTTTGAATTTCAGATTCTTCTGAAATCCATGCATAAAATCAGCAGGGCAAACGTCACCATTCTGAAAATAGTAATGTAAGAAAAATACGGAAGTCCAACAGCAGACAATCAAATGCCTCTTTATTAAGCCTAGTCCCTGCAGAGGAGGCCGTCCCAACCTTGGCTGCAAACTACGGAGGTTGCATCAAGCTCTGAAAATCAGAGCGAACATTTTGGGAAACACAACGTACCAGTGATGGTGCCCCCCAGGCTGCCCCTCAACCCCCGCCCCACGCCAGCTGCCTTTCTGCCTCCACTGCCAGGCAAGTCATTCCCAGACTGGCCAATAACCTGGATCCTAGATCCAGGGGAGAGATGACCAGATCGTCTCTCTAGAAGCTGAACTAGGAAACATGACAAGAACTGGCCACTTAGAAACTGAAAGAATGCAAACAAGAAATGCCACAAAGTTGAACTGGGGCCACAGGGCTTGACCAGCTAGCTGACAGGGCACGTGGGCTGACACCCCAGGGGAGGGAACACCAGGAGTGAGCAGAGCGGCCAGCTCGTGGTGGGGAGAGAGGCTCGGACAGACACATAGAGGCCCAAGAGGTAAAGTTCCAGGGACAGCTGCTGCAAGGCCCCAGCACTGCAGGAACCCAGCCCATCCCAGCTGCATTCCTGCATTTCTGCACCAGTCTTATCCCTGTTCCAACAAGAGGCCTCCCCGGGCTGAGCTCACTGGAGTGGTCTTTGCTCCTACAGCCAAAAGCCAAACCAGCACACGGGACCGTGCAAACAGGAAACAAGCTGCTCAATGCGCCATTACCGTAAAACACTGAACAGTTCTGGCATTTAAGGGAAATAGAGAACTAAAAACCACCACCTCACAAAGAAACAAAGAAACAAACAAAAGCCTCACCCTGACAGAGGGGCACAGGGGAACTCTCTGAGGGGACTGGACGAGCAGAGAGGGTCTGATCCTGGCAGAGGTGTGGTCACTCTGTTGTCAAAACAGATCAAACTGTACACCTACCACATGACCACTTCACTCCAAGTAAATTATACCTCAATTAAAAAAAACAAGCTCCCTAAATCTAAATTATTCCCTTGAGAGCGCTTGAGTTTTTGTTTTGTGTTTTTAAAACTAGATTGATCTGGATAAACCTCACAAACGATGAAGAGCAGAGGCCAGATACTAAAACACCTGAGTTTCAACTTATATAGAACAAAGAGAGAATATCCATCCAGGTGCTCAAAG